CCGCGACTGTATCATTGTGTATAATATGCAATAAGATTAGTCAAACTAGTTGGCCATTTTAGCGAAAATATGATTTGAAATGTTCATTTACATTTGTTTATAAAAGTAATATAAACATATATTCTTTTTTATAAAAATAACATATAAACAACGTTTTATGATCACATTTTTATTTTAAATGCAATACTGAAATACTGAACAGTTACACAGTTTTGAAAGATTCCATTTGATCTATTTTCTTATTAGTAAAACTAGACATTCAGAACAATTGTCATTTTAAGCAGTGTAGGCTACTTAATATGCTAAATTCTAAGAAAAGTCCATAAATAGGGCACAATGTACTGTTTTATGAAGGAATTTTCTAAATTGACTTTTCACAAGTGGTCTACCTGTGTTTGTAATTACACATTGCATTGTTTTACAGTCACATGAAATGTCTGTAAACTTACAGACAATGTATTCGCAGACAATTATCAGTAGGCTACCTTTTCATTTTTTTCTGCATATTGTTTTCTTACATACCTGATCAACAGTTATATATACAAACTATGCATCATGAATATCCCATTCACAGCTTAAAATGATGTATTAATGATTTTCCACTAAATTCACAGCTTTACATTTTATTTGTATGTTGCTTTGCATGTTTTCGAATCTTGGAACGCATATCTTTTCTATTATTTTTATGCACTGTTGAGACAGTCCCTTAATTCGCTCGGCGAATGTCTAACGAATGTCCAACATAAAACCAACTTTACCGCAGTGGCTACATGATGAGCACTGCGCTGCTCTATCTGGATTAGCGGCTGCGCGAAAGCAGGTTTAAATATTCCAATGTGATTGTGTTTTCAAAAGTTTAATAGCAAAGTCCCTTTAAGACAAAGGTATTCTATAGTCTTTGTTTAATAGACATAGTCAAGTCAAGTCAAGTCTGCTTTATTGTCAATTCTTCCACATGTACAGCACATACACACAGAGAATTGAAATTGCGTTACTCTCAGACCCTTGGTGCATACAGATAACACTAACAGTAGAACATAAATACAGATAGATACAGATTTAAATATAAAATACAACTATACAATTATACAAATAAGGTAAAATGTAAAAAAATATATAAAGAGAGCGGAATCACCGTCATTTAGGAATAAGATCGCGTGTGGTTTAATCGAGATCGCGATCTTTTAATGATTAAGCGTGCATACATTTTTTTTTTTTGTAGTCCATGTCATATTTGTATCAGACCTCAAATGTAACACGGGCCCAGGCCCGGGCGGCCCCCCCGCTTCCGCGACCCATGATCAGATACATTTATACATTCATCTCTGATAGTGCCAAATACCTGCGCACTACCTGTACCTATGATTATTTATTATTATTATTTATTATTATTATTGTTATTATTATTATTATTATTATTATTGTTGTTGTTGTTGTCGTTACTAGTACTACTACTTTTACTTTTTTATTTTATTTTATTTATTCAATGCCATAAGACTACTACTTTACGTCAGCGAGTCGTCATCAGCGCGCGACAGTCGTTTGAAGAAGAGCGCTATAATTTGTCGACGCAATGTCTAAAGAGGATCTTTTAAATGGCTTTGATCATATGATTTTGGACTAAACAGTCACAGAGTAAAATCAAAATCCACCTATGGTAACGGCACAAAACAGTATTCTTGTATCGCAGGATATATGACTATTGTTTACAGCCTGAGAGAGGAATGAACGAGGCGCAGTCGATGCCGCAAGGACTTTCAGCAGCCTGGGACACAGTGACATCTGTACTGGTGAGTATTAGATATACTACCGTGTAATTAGGTAAAAACGGTTGCTGAAATCGCGTCTGATCTAAATCCAAGCTAAATCCAGCTTCTGATGGTAGCTACATTAACAAAACAAGTACCTTGGTACTTGGACATGGTTATAGCATTGATGAAGTACCTTTGAGTGCCAAAAGCTGAAACCCAATCATGACTCTCTAGGTGTCTCCTGTGCCACCAAATGCTTCGACTGATGAGGTTCTCTCTGAAACCTTGGCCCTGCTGGGTGTACATGGACTGGGTCAGTATGTGGAAGGTTGGCTGCTGGAGACTCTGCAGGTGCGTTTGACTACTTCTGTTGCTCCAGAGTTCTGGACGGGGCTCAAGCAGCCAGAGGGGGAGTCACAGGAGAGGGACAGGGCAAAGGCTTTACTAGAAGCCTTCAGAAACCTTCTCCAAGAGCTGCAACCTTTCCTTGGTATGTCACACCCTACTCGGTGGCAACGGTTTTATTAAAATATCTATTAACATATTAACAGCCTATGTGTATTTGAAAAACAGATGTTAGACAGGTATAGTGTTGGCTTATTGTTGCAGTTGTCATAGCTGACTTCATTTTATTAGAAAAACTATAAAACTACACTAAACTATATAAAGTGTACTTTTTGTTGCTGGTTGAAACACTAAAATCGAAATGTTGTAGCATAGTTGTTCTCAACTGCCCAACATAATTCTCTCTCTCTCTCTCTCTCTCTGTGGAATAGTAAAAACATTAGTTATTGAGGAGAAAAAAGAAAGGCTATGATTTCAGTTTATGTATCATTATTCTGTGCTTTGCTAAAATTAAGATAGCTTGTTTTAATATATTAATGTTTAATAATATTTATGGGAATTAATAACAATACGTCATCATGTGGACCCCTTAGAAGTTTTCAGATCCCCCTAGTTGGCCCTGCAGGTTTTAAAGGGGTGCTATTATGCTTTTTCACTTTTTCAACTTTAGTTAGTCTGTAATGTTGCTGTTTGAGCATAAAAAAGATCTGCAAAGTTACAAAGCTCAAAGTCCAATTCAAAAGGAGATATTTTATTTAACAGAAATCACTTTTCAAAAACTACAACGAACGACTCGTTTGGACTACAACGCATATTTTCTGGGATTTGTGATATCACAAATATCGACGAATGGGACGAGACCTGGTTGAGCTGCACTAGAGAAGGCAACAAGTGTTATCACTATGTCGGAGACACGCTAGCTTTCCCAAGGCAGACGAACTTAGAGTGGTTACAATCATCCGGGTTTAAATCGTGATTTGATTTTGACGCAATATTTACACTGAAGCTCGCAGGTGGCGTAAGGGGCATGACATTTCCCGACCAGGCACCGAGTGGTGCCAATCACAACACGCACTGGCCCAGCTAACCAATCACAGCACATTTTGTATTTCAGAAGGCGGGCCTTCATTTGATACAGGAACTGTTCGAGCCGTTCATGCCAGATTGGGTAGAGAGGTGTTGAAATAATGTAAAATATGTGAAAAATAATGTGTTTTTCGAACAACCTAGTATGAGAGCATGTTCTAGTACACCCCCAAAACAAAATCAAGACTTTGTAAAAGAGCATAATAGGACCCCTTTAAAATGGTCTTAAAATGTCTTAATTCACTCGTCCACAAATTAAGGCCTTAAAAGGTCTTAAATTAGAGCTGAAAGTCTTAAATTCATGAAGTTGTGGCATTAAATGTTGCATGCACTACAAAAAAAAAGAGAATATTTCCTCTTGTTTTCCAGAACAAATATCTAAGCATCCTTATACATTTACTTGAGTTGCAAAATGAAGATATGAAGGCTGAGGAACAGAACAATATTAAGTGAGTTTATGCTTAAAACTAGAACAAATACAGCGGGTAAAATATGTATCGAACACATCAACGTTTTTCTCAGTAAATATATTTCTAAAGGTGCTGTTGACATGAAATTTTCACCAGATGTTGGTAACAACCCAAATAATCCATACATACAAAGAAAACAATACAAATAAGTTCAGAAATGAAGTTCTGTGTAATAAAATGGAATGACCCACGGAAAAAGTATTGAACACGCTTACTGAAATGTATTTAATACTTCGTACAAAAGCCTTTGTTGGTAATGACAGCTTCAGGATGCCTCCTGTATGGAGAATCAAGTTGTATGCATTGCTCAGGTGTGATTTTGGCCCATTCTTCCACACAAACAGTCTTCAAATCTTGACTGTTCCATGGGCCTCTTCTATGAACTCTAATCTTTAGTTCTATCCATAGATTTTCTATTGGATTCAAGTCAGGTGATTGGCTGGGCCATTCTAGCAGCTTTATTTTCCTTCTCTGAAACCAAATGAGAGTTTGCTTGGCTGTGTTTGGGATCATTGTCTCGCTGGAATGTCCACCCTCATTTCATCCTGGTAGATGGCAACAGATTTTTATCAAGAATGTCTCGGTACATTTTTCCATTCATCCTTCCTTCAATTATATTAATTTTGCCAGTGCCACACCATGATGTTTTGGGGTGATGTGCAGTGCCATTTGACCTCCAAACATGGTGGGTATTACGGCATCCAAAGAGTACAATTTTTGTCTCATCTGACCAGACTATATTCTCCCAGTATTTCACAGG